TGCCCCCTCCCCCTATCCTGCCTGTCCAGTCTCCAGCCCAGGCTGGCCTGCCAAGGATGACCTTAAAATTCTGATTTTCCCCAAAGTGATGGAATTATAGGCTTCCAGTTCTCTCTTCTAAAAACTGAATATAGGTACACAGATAGGGACCTGAGTGTCTCTTCTACCCAGCAGATAGGGGACACTGGGCTAACAATACAGCAATCACAAACTATTAGAGAGAAGATTTCTTGAAAAAAGAGAAAAATACATGTTTTTATTTACTGGTGATATTGAATATTCCTCTCTCCCCACATTTGAGTAGTACAAGGCATAATAATATATTTGTGACTACATGATACATACTTATTTGTGCCTTTTAATTGGAGTTTTCAGCTTATTTATATTTATTGATATTATTAAGCTTAATCTTTCCATTTTAGTATTTGGTTTTCATTTATCCTATCTGCATTTTGTTCTCTGTTCCTTTCTTGAATTATTTTAGGTGTGCCACAGATTTTTAATACTCTTTTTATTTTTTACTTCTTCCACTAATACTTTAGCATTGTCTTACCTTAGAAATTACATATGTATCTTGAAGACTTTTGTATATACCTTAGTACCACTACAATACTTCAAGGCTGTTGTAAGGCTTATGTCAGCTTAATTCTACTTGTGCTCCATCCCACCCATCTGACTTTTGGTGTCTTCATCTTTTACTTCTACCTGTGCTCTAAACTTTTAAAAAAGATATTTCAGAATTCAAATATTATAAATAAACCACACTTAGAGCACCATAAAACATGTAAGACAAGTTATAAAAAGTAAAAGTGAGCATGTTTCATCTTTGTTCATTCTAGTACTCTATTCTTTCCTGAAGACTCGGGGCTTTGTGTGATGTTGTTTCTCTTTAGCCTGAAGAAGTTTAAGTCATCCTAGTAGTGCAGAAGAACTTAGACAAACTTTCAAATTTTTTAATGTCTGAAAATGTCTTTGTTTTGATTTAATCTTTGTAATTTTCTAGATAGAGAATCCCAGACTGTTTCAGCACTCTTTGAATACTAACCTGTTTGTCCATATATTTTCCAAATCAATCCTATGCAGCCAGGTATGGAGAGTCCAGAATTTCTATTGTCTTTTAGATGTCAGCTAATGGCTGCTAGATATCCTGGACTCAGTGAAGAATGACTCCTATTCTGAATAACAATAGCTCTGGGCCAGGGTGAGTCTATACCCACCCTGAAGGCTAGTGAGACATGCTGGTCAGGAGTGCCTGAGGGCTTGCGTACATGCTGCAAAGAAATGTCTTTAGGATGTAGGGAAATAATTGCTATCAGCCCTTTATACATGATAATAGATGTCTTCTGTCATTGCCCCCACCTTTGGATGGTTACTTAAGATGATGCTTCAATAAACCGTGGCCTTCAGTGTTAACTGATTGCCCTTCTGATATGAACAGATGTCTCTATCTCTTCTTTAATGCTGTTGGATAGTTAGCGTTCCCTCGTCCACACTTCCCCACTCAGAATTGGACCCTGGGTTGTTCGGCTGGTTCCGATTAGAGCCCTGAGGACATTCATCCATGATAAATGGTCCCTATAACATGGGGCTAATACAGACTGGACATGACATAATGGTGCCAAAACGTGAGGCTGAGAATGGGGACAGAAGTGATGGACACCACAGAGGAATAGATACTGCAGGTGTCTGAGTCATAGAAGAAGCGCAAACAGAAAAAAAGAAGTGAAGTACAGTGAGTGACCAGCATTAAGTCAGGAGTAAAATTGCATATAATTGTAGATATGAAACAGGGAAATATTAATCAGGTGACAAAGAACTGAAGTGTGGTTAGTTAGCCTTAAGAGTGAAAATGTGTATAATTATAGACATGAATAGAAAAATGTCAGTCAGATGATAAAGAAGTGAAATGTTGATGAGAGCCTCCAGAGTAAAAAAGCATATAATGGTAGATGTGAAACAGAGAAATACTAGCCAGATGATAAAGAGAAGTGAGCTAACCTTGAGAGTAAGAATGTATATAATTAGTGATAAGAGACATAGAATTATTATTAGTCAGATAGTTGTATATTTACTTGGGTATATTTTAATAGCCAGGAGAGCTGAAATAAAGCAGAAGCAAGTATAGAAATTTTAGAGTTTGAAAGTTTTGTAAGGATCCTTCCCTTTCACAGGAGTCACCATCGCAGCTGTCTCAGAGCTGCACTGGAGCTTGGGGAAGCTAAGGTGCAACCCTGTATATGTGTAGGACAGCAGGAAGTTATCTGTCCCTGAACCAGCTAGCAGTGTGATAGAGACCTCGGAGGAGCTGCTAGACAAGGAAGCATACACAGGGCAGCATGACTGGGATGAGTATAAAGAGAGAGTTACTAAGTATCAGAATGGAAAGTCTTCACCTCCCTCATTTTTGACTAGGGATACAGAGAGGCAGAAACCTAGTGGTAAGGTTCAACAGGAGTTAAGAGGCTTGAAAGATTTAGCGGAATCACTCTCACAGGAGATAAGAACTTTGCAGGTTTCCTTAGATCAGAGAAAGGTTTCTTTGCCTACTGCAGTAGCCAAGTATAGATCTGCCTAAGATGCAGGGACTCCCTCAAGTCATGGCAGATAGTCATAGCGGGTCAGGTGTCTCCAGTGCAAGCCAGTGTTAGAGAAGCAGCAGACAGAGGAGAAAATGTACAAGGATTTCAGACATTTCCTGTAATGGAGCATAGGGATGGCTCAAAGAAATATAGGCAGGGTGCATACGCCGATACCATTTAAACAGTTCAAGTTACTAAAAATGGCTTGTGTCCAGTATGGACCAACAGCAGTTTTTACCCAGACGCTAATAGAGAATATTGCTATAGAAGCCTTACCCCCCAGGAGATTGGAAACAGATAGCCAAGGCCTGCCTATCAGAAGGGAAAAACAAAATTTGCAGAGCAATGTCAGATAGCAGCTGAGAAGAATAGAGCCCCAAACCTTTCTATTTCTTATGAGATGCTCATTGGGGAAGGAAAATACAAGGATAAAGATCAGCAGTTAGGTTTTGAGATAGCAGTGTATACACAGATTGACACAGCTGCCAAGAGAGCCTGGAACAAGCTTCCAGCTGCTGGGGCACAGACTGAAGACTTAACAAAGATAAGGAAGGGACCGGAAGAATTGTTTCAGAATTTTGTCTCTAGGCTAATGGAGGCATCATCCAGAATAATGAGAGATACAGAGGCTGAACTTTTGATCATAGAACAGCTAGCCTATGAAAATGCTAATGCAGCGGGACAGCGGGACTTTGCTCAAAGATAAGGCCAAGGCCAAAGCCTAGGAAGCTCACAGCCTTGAGAGCTGCTATCTTGGCCAACACCCAACCTAGTGTATAAAAATGCTAATTAATGTAGCCAGTCAAAAACTGTTTTAAGACCTTATAGAAAGAAAGGTGACATAGATGAATTTAAATTTGCTTAGATTTTGGATGCTCATAAACTCAAAGATTACCTATAACTGTATTACAAGAGATTTCAGTTAAAGTTTCGTTTCAACAAACTAATCATGGTCTAGGGAAAAGGAGAACTGAAAGATATGTGTATATTCTGTGTGTATGGTGTGACCACACATGTGTATGTGAAGTGTGATTGTGAATGTGTGAATTTTAACAAAAGGAACTATTTGATTTGCTTTGAATATAGTTAAAAAGGGCATCAAGTCAGACAGTGTCTTAACACACAAGGTTGGTGATTTGAGCCCTCAGAGCCAGTAGGTAGAAAAATGGCCAATGCCAGCATGGCCTGAGAGCCAAAGAAATCTGTATGGATGATTCAATAGAGCTTAGCAGAGGAGAGGATACAGAAATTCTCTTATTTTTGTGGTTAAATAGGAAATCAGGGAAATGAAGACTGATATAAGATTTGAGAAAAAGCCTCAGGGAACTGCGGCCCTGTTAGGGCTGGCTTAGAAAGGTGTCTGCGTGGATGCAAATGAGACCATGTCAGCTAGTGAAAGCTTGACAGGCTGGGTTGGAGGAGACTACTTACAAACTTTAAATATTTTCCAAAAGTTATTTGGGACATATGTTATATCCTAAAGAAATTAAGTCTCAAAAATTAGAAATTAGAAAAGATAACTTGTGATCTTTGAATGATTTTCACAAGTTGTTGGGAAATACTCAATGGTTACATCCTTTCTTAAGGGCAATTACTGATGATTTCAAACTTTTAAGTGATATTCTAAAAGGAGATAGTGATCCCAATTTGTCGGTCTGAATGTAATATTTCAGAAATATGCCTCAACTCAACCACAAAATTCCAGGAGCTCAGAACTCCTATTGTCTTTTAGATGTCAGTTGATTACCTCTGCATGACTTAGTCATGGTAGGGAAAGGTTCCTAGTTTGTGCAACAAAAGACCTAGGCCTTGAGGGCTAGTGAGACATGTCTGAGGGCTAGTGTGACATGCCTGAAGGCAGGTGAGACATGCCATTATGGAGTGTCTGAGGGTTTGAAGTCGTGCAGTTTAGGAGTATCTCTAGGATTAAGGGAAATGTTTCCCATTCAGCCCTTTATACATGATAATAGATGTCTTCTGCCAGTACCCCCACTTTTGGAAAGGTATTTAAGATGATGTTGGAATAAACAGTGGTCTCCAGTATTGACTGAGAGCCTTCCTGAGATGACTAGACGTCTCCGTCTTGTCCTTAACATTGTTGGGTAGCTAGGCTTTTCCTCATCCACACTCCCTCACTTAGGATTGGACCCAGGGATGTTGGGCTGGTTGTGATCACAGCCTCAAAGACATCAGTCCAAAATAGAAGGCCCCTGCAGCGCAGAAGTGATATAGGCAGGACCCTGGCACCAATTCACCTAGACAGTTAAATGAAGATGGTAGACAAGTTCTCCTACAGTTGGGGAATGCAATCCAGCATCAGCAGATATGCTATATTGACTATGCAAAACCATGGGATGCTTATGTGCTCCCCAGGCAGCATAGTCCAACTTCTGTTCTGTGGCAGGAGGGACCATTAATATGGTTACATCTACCTGTTTCCCCAGCCAAAGTGTTAAATCCTTATTTTGAAGCAGTAGCTTGTATGGGGCAGAAGTGCTATGTGGAATCTGGGAAATAGTTTGGCAGAGAACCAAGTGTAATACATGTTCCTTATACCAAACAGCAAGTTGATTGGTTATTTCAAAACAATGATTTGTGGATAGTCGCTTTTGCTCAATTTTCGGGAAAAACTGAAAATCAATTTCCAGCTCATAGACTGTTGTAATTTGCGCTAATGCATCCTTTTATATTCCTCAAAATTGTAAGGACTAATCCTGTGAAAAATGCTGTTAGTTTTTACTGATGGTACCTCTAATGGAAGAACAGCTTATGTTAGAGATGGCAAAGAATATATAAAACAAACACCTCCAGCTTTGCTTAAATAGTAAGTGTTACGAGCTGTTACAAAGGTCTTTCAGCTTCTAGTAAATGATTCATTTAATTTGTATACTGATGATCATTATATTTCTAAAGCTCTTTAAGTGATAGAGGCAGTTCCATGCATTGAAACTAGTAATGATGAGGTTAGAATATTGTTTGAGCAAATTCAAAATGCAATTCATCTAAGAAAATTGCCGTATTTTGTGGGCTACATAAGAGCTCATTCAAACCTTCCCAGCCCACTGACTGAAGGGAACCAGTCAGCAGATAGATTAACAAAATCTGTCACTTTATTTCAGGTAGAAAGAGCTCAGTAATCACATAACTTTCATCATCAGAATAACAGAAGTCTAAGAAAGCAATTTGGTTTAACTAGAGAAACTGTTCGTCAAATCGACAGTGTGATATGTGCCCACAATATTTACCTGCAACTAATTTAAGAGTAAACCCTTGAGGCCTGCTTCCTAACCATTTGTGGCAAATGGATGTTAGTCATATTGCAGAATTTGGCAAGTTAAAATATGTCCACGTGGCAGTTGATAAGTATTCAGGCTTCTTAATGGTCACTGCACAAACTGGAGAAGCCACTGAGCATGTGATAAATCACTGTTTAAAATGTTTTGCTTACATGGGAGTTCCAAAAGTGATAAAAACAGACAATGGGTCTGGATATACTAGGAAAGCATTTCAGCAATTTTGTGCTCAATGGAAAATTGATCACAAAACAGTCATTCCTTATAATCCTCAAGGACAAGGAATTGTGGAGCATGCTCATAGCTCTCTGAAAACACAACTTAAAAAAATAAAGAGAGCAGAGTTATGTCCCACATGATGTCTCCACATGATGCATTAAATCATGCACTCTTCATTTAAAATTTTTTGAATGTGGATGACTCCTAATTCTAAACAACAAAAGCCCTGGGCCAGGGCGAGTCTACTGAAGGCTAGTGAGACGTGCTGGTCTGGAGTGCCTGAGGGCTTGCGTACATGCTGCAAAGGAGTGTCTCTAGGATTAAGGGAAATATTTGTTATCAGCCCTTTATACATGATAATAGATGTCTTCTGTCATTGCCCCCACCTTTGGATGGTTACTTAAGATGATGATTCAATAAACCGTGGCCTTCAGTGTTAACTGATTGCCCTTCTGATATGAACAGATGTCTCTGTCTCATCCTTAATACCCTTGGAGAGTTAGCCTATCCTGCGTTCACACTCCTCCACTCAGCTTTGGACCCAGGGTTGTTTGGCTGGTTCAGATTGCAGCCCCGAAGACATCAGTCCATGATAAATGGCCCCTGCAACAAGGGACTAATCCAGACCGGACACAACACTAACCTACTGTCTTCTGCCTATTTTTGCTGTAGTTATACCATTGTTGCTTTGCCAATGTGTCTTCACTTCTGTTGCTGGTTTTTAAGATTTTCTTTTCATATTAGATTTTTAAAAATTTTACGTTAATAATGTGGCCATTGTGTGACTTTCTTTGCATTAAATATTTAGAATGTTTTAAAGCTTTTTGGATATGTAAATTATTATCATTCAACATTTGAATGTGTTCTGCCATATTTATTACACTTTGCCTTTATTCTCTCCTCTTCTTGTGAAAGCTGACTTATTTTATTTTATCCCATGTATGGGCTTTAAGGGGTCCATGTTTTCTTTTTCCTCTTCGTGTCTCATTCTTGTCTCCATATACTGGCAGAGATTCACAGACTTTCCTAAGTCACATATTCCTCCTTCTCCTCCTCCTCTTTCTCTTCTTTTTGAGATGGGGTCTCAACTATGTAGTTTTGGCTGGACTGGAAATCACCCTGGAGACCAGGCTGGCTTTGAACTCAGAGATCCACCTGCTTCTGCCTCCTGAGTAATAGGATCAAAGGCATGTACCACCACACTTGACCTAAGATGCATTTTCTATTCTTGTTTTGATATGGTATTCTTCACTTTAATGATATCACCCATCACCCTTTTCTACAGTGTTCATGTTATCTCTTAAAGTTCTTCACATCTTAGTGCTTTTCATCTACATAGTTTTTTGTTGTTGTTGTTGTTTTTGAGACAGAGTATCACTATGTAGACCTGGCTAGCCTTGAACTCACAGAGATCCACCTGCCTCTGCTTCCTGAATGCTGGGATTAAAGTCATTCACTACCATGCCTGAATATCTATATCTATATCTATATCTATGAGCTGAAGACTGAATCTGGGGACTTGAGCTAAATCCTCAACTCCTTTTAATGTAATATTTTATTAATTATTTGAGAATTTCATACAATGTACTTTGATCATATTCATTTCCTATTCCTCCCAGGTCCACCCTCCTACTTTTGTGCCCTCTTTTAAAAAAACAAAACACCAAGTCCAATTGTGCTGCCTATATACTCAAGGGTCCAGTGGCCATACTTTTAAACAAAACTGACTTCCCTTCTGCTCTCCCACCATGCCTTCAGAGGACATCAACTGTGTTGGCATCTTTAGCACTATTTTTTTTAGTTCTTTTTTTTTTTTTTGGTTTTTTTTTTCGAGACAGGGTTTCTCTGTTTTTGGAGGCTATTTTTTTAATTCTTAAATATGGTTTAATACTCTTCTCCATTTCTGTACATCACAACACCGAGATTGTGCAGAGGCTAGGGAGTGCAGGCTACGGTTTCACCCCCTCACTTATGTGTGTTTGTATGTGTAAGTGTAACACACATCGGTATATATTGATATGCACATCAATATATAATGCAATATATATCACCAAAGAGAATACCTTAAATGTATCATGTGAACAACAAGCATATCCAAAAATGTAAATTTACATCCAATTTCTCTGTTCTTGTCATATCACATTAGACCCATTTACAATGGCAAAAACCAAAGGTACTGCTGGAAAGAGTGTGTTGCTCACTCTTGGGTGATCTGCAAACCAGCAACAGAGCCCAAAGCAAAAGCCTGTTTTGGTGAAACTTCCCATGTTGGTGAACACCAAAGAACTGACTCTTCTCCCTGGGGGTTGAAAGATCAGGTTACACGATAGACAGACATTTGAACCTCAGAGTACAGTGTGAGAACCAAAACTTTACATGTAAGACACACTCTATTCATTCAAGTGAAATAGGATTATTGGAAAGATAGGCAGGTCTGTAACCTGGGAACAAAGAGGTGGTTCAGACCAATAAAGCTACAAGTGACTGAGTCAAGTCTGTGAAGAATGGCAGCCGGGCATGAAAATGTTAAAAGTACCTAATTTGAAACCCAATGTACCCCACCACTCTGGTTGAGTGTGGGTGATACCAACTGACTTTAAAAACTGTTGGTCCTTCAAAGTCCACTTGGCATACTTTCCTCCATTGCTACCACTGGGCACATACTATGCTTCGCTTACTGTCACCACCTTGAGCACACCATGACCTTGTACTTAACTGGGTTCAAATCCAACTTACAGCCCAGCTGTGAAGCATCACTTGAGGTTTTTGACCAAGTTTTGGATCTAACATGGTTTAATCCACAGTGCCAGAAGCTGTGTTCCATCTTTCCCCACCCCGGCCTTCGCCACCCTGCTCCTATACTATCTCACCCGGGAGGTGCTTTTAAGTCCCACTTTCAAAACAGACTTTAGCACAGTGTTTAAGAATGCTTTTCAATAGCTTTATTATCTGGACTGTTGCTTCTGCTGACTTCTGTTGGATGTTTATTCTTTTGGCCACAGGGTACATTTCTTGTATCCATTTATTTACATTATTATATACTGTACATTTTACAGAAATAACAGTGGGTACTGAAGCAACATCTACTTCCTATAAAAGACATACTACTCCTATCAGGCCACAATTTGATCTGTGGTCTGGGCTTCATAGCAATCATAGTTTGAATCAGATCACTACTGGTTTGAATTGCTTTGTGAGTGGGCCCAGAAATTGTCCTTCTATGGGTCTATAGCACGAGAACTACACAAATAAAGGATTTCTTAGAGCTTTTCAGCTCAGCTGTGATGGGGAAAGTCCTTCTGTGTATGTGTTTATCTTATTGGTTGTTGAATAAAGCACTGAGTATTTGTGGGAGAGCCATAGAAGTTTACTGTTTACTGTCATCTTTCCAGAGCTATGTCTCCCAGCCCCCTCTCCCCTCATGTATTAGCAGTAGGCATCAAGAGTATACTTTTTGCTTATATTCTTTGTTCACAAGCCTTTTAAGGCATATCTTTTACTGGATAAAGATGAGAATCATTACTATATCCAAGTCAGAAATGACACATTTCTGGACTCTCACATCTCTCTTTCATATCCATTTGTTTCTTGAATTGGCTTCTTTCTCACAGTATCTTGCCACTACAAAGCAATAGTTATTAAAGCATTTTCTTGATTTCTGTTGCCTAGTTTTGCCTGAGCAAAAGCCACAAGTTTATTAGTGTAACTATCTTTATCAGCTATCATAGGTTGACAGTTTTATCCAATTCCACCTTCCATCTACAATGGGCAGCTCCTTATTGCTGGGCACCTGGCCCTAAGCTAGAACCATGTTTTAGGATTTGCTACTGTAGCATTTAAAGGACTAATTCCTGATATACCAGATAGGCAGGACACCTTATACCCTTCCTGTAGTTTGTTACAGCTTCTTTTGCATTGTGATTACATTTCATCATTGGCTGGAACCTCACAATCTCCATGATTTCTTCTATACCTTATCTTTATATGTAACTATTCAGCCTCCAAAGTTTTCCTAGGAAATCATTAGTACTTTAAAAAATGTTATTACATATTTTTGATTACTTGCTTTTTGCTTTTGGAACAAAAGAGCATTTATAGGGTGCAGGCGTTTTTTAAGTGTATTTGATCTGCATTTTTATCATTGCTATTCTGGTCCTCTGTTTAGAACATAAAAATCATTTCCACAGCAACTAATTATAGTATAAGTCACAAATGCCAGATTACTACTGCTGTGGAGGTTGGAAGCAACCATCATGGAAATACTTAAGAGCCTCTTATTTTGGAAGTTCTTTACTGAACTATTATAAGCTAATAAAATGCAGAAGATATAATATTTAATGTAGAATGAACTTTTCACATCAGCTTTATGCGTGATAAGCTTGACACAAATCTGTAGAGGATGATATTCTGCCTCATATTAAACCTTTGCCAAAAATCAGTTGAGCATATCTATGAGGGACTATTCTGGTGCCTCATTCCTGTTCCACTGATCTGTGTCTCCAGCTCTCTACAACATCTTTATCCCTTGATCACTGTATAGTAAATCTTACCAGACAGAGTGACTGCTTTAGCTGGTCTAGTGTTTCTCCCCATGCTTTCCACATACATTTTAGATAAGCTCCTTTATGTGTATAAACACACTACTTGGGCTTTAAAAGAATTGCATTATCTCTCTCTCTCTCTCTCTCTCTCTCTCTCTCTCTCTCTCTATCTATCTATATCTATATATATATTTATATATACCTATCTATATGTCTCTATCTCCATATAAACATATGGATCTATTTAGGAGAACTGATATGTGTATAGTGAGTTGCCCATACTACAAACACAGAATGTCTCTTGATTTACTAGCTTTTTGATTCTTTTCCTTAGCATTTTCTAATTTTAGGCATAAAATGTTTTCTAACTAAACAATTAAGAACAGATACTCCCTGAATTATGAGTGGGTTTTATCCTGGCAAGCCCATTTAAAACTGAAAAATATTTGAAAATGAACTTAGTGTAGCTAAACTGCTGTACACTCTAGCTTAGTAGCACAGCACACAGCAGACTACTGTTTTGACTGAATGCCTGTCTGAGGACAGCACTTTTTTCATCTGCAAATTAACTTTAAATTTTTTTATTATTTAATTTTTTTCATTTTACACATCAACCCCAGTTCCACCTCCCTTCCCTTCTCCCATGCCCCCATCCACTCCTCAGAGCGGGTAAATCCTCCCTTGGGAAGTCAACAAAGTCTGTCATACTAAGCTGAAGCAGGACCAAGCCCCTCCCCCTTGTATCAAGGCTGAGCAAGGTATCCCATCATAGGGAATGGGCTCCAAAAAGCCAGTTCATGCCCCTGGGATAGGTCCTGGTGCCACTACAGGCTCCCTGCAATGGATCAAGTCACATAACTGCCACCCACATTCAGAAGGTTAGGTCCCATGTAGGTTCCCCAGCTGTTAGTCCATAGTTCATGAGTTCCCACTAACTTGGGTCAGCTGTCTCTGTGGTTTTCTGAGGATGGCATCTTACCACTGCTGCCTAGTGTGGAGAGAGCACCATACTGCACAGCACAAGCATAGACAGTGATCGAATTCTAAACTCCAATGTCTGGCTATATTTACATGGTTTTCATACCAAGATAAAGTAAGACCATCCATGTGGGTATGTGTAGTCTTTCTAGAGAGGCCATAAAATGATGTCTTTAGTTTCACTTTCTACATGTTTGTTGTCAGCTTAAAAGAATGTGATTTGATTTTTGTATGCTGATTTTGAGTCTTGTGACTTTGCTCAACTCATATATTAGTTCTAGTAATAAAAACAAGCATGCTCGAATAACAATCATGTTATCTGCAAATAGGAAAGTTTTTTTTCTTCCTGTCCAATATATTCTGCTATTTCTTTGCCCTTTCTTGTAGTTTTAATGAGTTGTTATTCATTCTAAGGGAAAGAAAATATTCTACCTTTACCCATTAAATACCATTTAGTGATGGGGGCTGGTAATTGTGAACACTTTTAATCTCAGCACTTGGGAGGCAGAGGCAGGCGGATCTCTGAGTTACAGGCCAGCCTGGTCTACAGAGTGAGTTCCAGGACAGCCAGGACTACATAGAAAAACCCTGTATAGAAAGCCAAAATCAACCAAACAAACAACCCCCCAAACAAACAAAAAACAAAACAAAAACTAAACATCTTTTAACCTTTTTTTAAAAAGTTAAACAACTTTTTTATATAAAATTAAAGTTGTTTCCCTTTACTTATAACTTTTTTTCTCTACTTATAACTTATTGAGGATTTTTATCATGAATGTTGAATTTACTTTGCAACAACTAACATGGTCCTATTATTTTTATTCTTTAGCTTGATTTTATGACAAGTTACATTGATAGATTTTTACAAGTTGAAACACCATTTCACTGCTTGGATAAATCTCTCTTAGATATGGTATATAATTTTTATATATTGTTGAATTTGAGTTTCTATTAATTTTTGTGGAATTTTTTTGCCTACATCCACTAAATTCATGAGTAACATTAGTTTGCACTCTGCTCTAGTTTCAGTTTTGTCTGTACTGGTTTCACAGAATGGACTGAAAAATGATCTACCTATTTCTATTTTGTATAAACTGATGTCAGTTCTCCTTTATAGACCTGGTTAAATTCTCAGCAAAACTATCTAGGTATGGAGGTTTCTTTTTCAGGAGTTTTCAAGTTACAAATATAATTGTTTAATAGTTACAGAAATAATCACAAACCAATTTCATTTTGGTTAGTTTCTAGTAGTTTGTGGCAGTTAAGACACTGTCTTCTTGAGAGTGAAGTTGCTTCTGAGTGCCTTTATACTCTGAGAAAGGAGCTATGGGGACAGGAGAACACAGCACATGGGCAGAGTGGCTTTTCAGAGCTCTATTCTTTTAGGTAGAAGACATCTACTGTTGAGACAGAGACAAGCAGGCATCTGCAGGATGTGAGACATCTTTGGAGAGGCTGATGAAGGTGTCAAGATCACAGAGATTCAAATGGACTCCCACAGCATGGGTTTCTCTAGTGCTTGGGCTATGAGATTGAGAAGTGGCTGTGAGTATCACTCAGGGCTTAAAACAGCAACCAGAGCAGAGGGTTCTGCTCTCTCATCCTAGAGAGGACAGACACTAGGGCCGAGCAGAGGTCAAAGGGTCTAAGTGATTCTTCACCTATATCCTGTGGACCCTTATTAAGTGCAAAGAGGAACTAGGTCTTGAAACTCAAGTGTGGTACAGAAAAGAGACAAATGACATCACCATATGTGTTATGGACACAGGACACAGAGGTGCTGGACAGGTAAGCATAGGAGCATGTCAGTGAGGATAAAATGTGCATCTGATAACATTAAGACTCAGGAAGGTATCATCTGGGAGAGAGAGGACCTTGGACAGGTTAGAGGCCACTTGTATTAAAGGACAGCATTGCAGAGGGTTAGGGCAAAGCTAAGATGGAGGGTAGAAGATGTGGACAGAAAGAAAGTCCTTGGAAGATGGCAGGTGGCAAGACTTTGAGCTAATGCTTATAAGCTGAACTTGGCTCTTGATCACATCCTCTGCAATGTAAAACCTCTCACTTCCAACCAGAACCCCTTTTACTGTACTTAATGAGGATTGTTTGTCTTGTTCACTGTCTTATTGCTGTGAAGAGACACCCTGACCAAGACAACACTTATAAAAGAAAGCATTTAATTGGAGGCTTGCTTACAGTTTCAGAGTTTTAGTCCACTGTCATCATGGCAAACATGGTGCGGGAGAGGTAGTTGAGAGCTACAACCTGGTCCACAGGCAGAGAGAGAGGGGAGAGAGAAGAGTGGGGAAGAGGGAGGAGAGGAGAGAAGAAGGAGGAGAAAGTGACAAAGGCAAAGACAGAGACTAGGCCTGGTATGGGCTTCTGAAATCCCAAAGTCCATCTCCAGTGACACACTTCCTCTAACAAGGCCACACCTCTTAATCCTTCTAAGTTACTAAGCATTCAAATATAGGGGCATTCTTACTCAAACCACCACACTGTTATTCCTTGTATATGACTATTTCCAGTTGCTCTAAAGTTCAGTTTAGCATACAGTAGTACTATATTCTCAGCACCAACCTTAGATCTCTTACATAAAATGTTTCCTGACTTTTAGTACTCAAATAAGAGTCTGTGGTCCTGGTATTTTGGTGAATTCGTAGGGTAGTCTAGACTCTGCACTCTCCACTTACTCTGCACTTACTGAGTAGATGCTCTGTAAGACCCAGAGCTTAGTAGGATGCAGCAGGGTACAGAGCTGGTGCTGCATTGCATATGTGTAATGGGCAGGGAGCAACTGAGCTGGGGAAAATCAGGTTGGTGTGTCAAAGAGGGCTCTTCAAGTCATGAGTGCAAGGCATGCTTTGATGAAGTGAAGGAAGGGCCTTCCTGAGTACAAAGTAAAGAGGCTTGAGTGAAATGGACACCAGTATGCTAAGGACTGGACAGAGAAGATCAGTAAGTGGGCCATAGAAGCTGGTGTCTAATCTGGAGGTGTACAGTCCTGACCCCATGATGGTCATATGCCTCAGGGAAGACTGACAACAGAAATGAGAACACGAGGAGCAGGTGCAGGACCTTGTATGGGGGCAAGGGACACACCCTTTCTGGAAGGTGCCTGACATAAGTATTTGAAGTCATAGGGAACAGTTTGATGGAAGAGGCTTAAGGTGAGAAGTTGGCTCCTGTGATTGCAGAGAGGGGACAGTGACAGCTGAGGCAGGGATTTCCCACCAGCAGCTACCCTGTTCCTTCTCTTCCTTACAGAAGAATCCTGATTCTGTGCTAGCAGTGACATCTGTTTAAGTGAGCCCCTTATGATCCAAGCAAGTCAGTCTCTAGTTTTTCCTCATCGGAGTAAAGCCAGTTAGCCTCCCTTTAACTGGATAGCACTATTCTGCTTGGAAAGTGAGGTATAGCAGATGACTGCAGTGGGCTCCATGGAACACCCTGTTACTCCAAATCAGAGAGATGTGATTGGAACCTAGCACCTGCTCTTTCCACCTGCCTAAGAGATTGATTGGCAGCTAGCTGGTTTTCCACTAGGAGAAAAAAAAGTTAGTGCCCAAGAATAGTAGTTCAGAAAAACAGGTAGACTCCAAAGGTAGAGAGGCACACCTCAATACAACCTGAAGTCACTGGCTACTGGCATTCCCACAGAGTGAGCCACAGAGTTTGGAGCTGCTACAGGAGGCCCATATGTTCTGCCCTCTCAATGGCAGGGGTTGGGCAGGCATGGCAATGACAACGACCTTCAAATAGGAATCCCACAGATCACACATCTAGCACTGGAGCTCCTTCTCCTGTGACTCACACTTTTTTTCCCCACTCCTTACACTTGCTTTTAGTGGGACGAGTTATCCATTCTTTCATAATTAGGAAGCTTTTGGCATCCTAGTTGTCTACTTTTCTTTTCAAATGATTAACTACTAGAGAAAAATTTAACTTCTTTCTCATGAAAATAACTTTGGAGTTAACTTCAGACTTTTAAAATCATGTCAACATTCCTGAAGATCTGATAATACTATTTTTTTTATCTTACCATTGGGAAGTAAGGGTAGAAAAGACATCATCTTTTTCAGATTCCTGGAATAACTTCAAAAGCTCTGGGTCCCCAGATAAATGTGCAAGAATGCGCAATTCAATCTGTGAAAAGTCTGTGAGACAAAGTTCTCCATCAATTTTGAATTCACCCATGGTGCCCCCATCGATTCACCTCAAGCCACTCTCAGACTGCCTTCCCATGGGGCTCAAGGTCAATACAACTCTTCCCATCTGTCAGACTTCCTTAGCCTTTGGACTATTGCTTCTTTTTATCCCAGCAATTTTAGAGACCTGTTCTCCCTCTTGCAAGGCCAGTAAAGGGATGGGCAGTGTTCATTCACCACATTCACCATAATTTTATGAAGGATCCTGTTGGGATGTGTTAAACAGTATAGACACAGACCCCTTCCTCTGTGGAACTTACATTCTAGGAGACATTCTGAGTAAATCATTTGGTATGTCAAGGAAAAGAAATGGAAAAATTGGATCAAGGTATGGTTTAGTAGAGAGTAGTGCATATGAGAGAAGCTGCTGTCATGGTAGGGTGGTCAGCTCCCCTGCTTCTTTCTAGTCCTCAAAAAAATTACAATGAACGAAGACAGAAGAAGGAAAAAGGAAGAGCTGTAGGGGCTTGAAGCACAGGGACACAGTGGTTAGCAGGGCTGCTTGAGTCAGAAAGGGGAGGGAAGGGGGAGGACAAAAGAGGAGGAAGCAGACTGAATGAGTTATGCCAGCAAAATGAGGGGACCCTGAAAGCCAAAGACCTATTATTATTTAATGTGTATAAGAAATCTTTGCTTCACCTTGCATTGGTGGTGCACGCCTTTAATCCCAGCACTCGGGAGGCAGAGGCAGGTGGATCTCTGTGAGTTCGAGGCTAGCCTGGTCTACAAAGTGAGTTCCAGGACAGCCTCCAAAGCTACAGAGAAACCCTGTCTCAAAAAAACAAAACAACAAAAAAAAAAAAAGAGAAATCTTTGCTTCATGTAAGTGTTTGCTTTAGAGTTTATTTGCAAGAATGAGTTCTATCTGATATATGCATCTTTGCATTACTTAGTTGGTAAATATTTGAACTACATGAAAATGCACAAAGTGAGGTATAGTAACTGTGGCATCCCCCTATCATCCTATGCATATACCTGCTGCCAGGAAGGTGTGGCCTTCAGAGGAAACAAAGAGGGTTCTTGGGGAGATGGTGACAGTCTCCTCTTCTTTACCTGAATTGTCATTTCAAAAGCATGTGGTGAGTTTTACTGTCGGCTGATTTGCAGCAGTTTGTCATACAGTTATTTTAATATCATACACAAATAAAAGTCTACAATTAAAAAATAAATACCACTGTAAGATAACAAAATTTTCTATTATTAAAATTTTCTGTTCTGTCTAGAATTGTGATAAAGGAAAAAGTCAAACATTGACACCCAAAACCACTTTAGTAAAGCACTGGAGATGGAGCCTGACTGGAAGACCCATGCATAGGCCATATAGCCATGTGGTTCCCACCGAGCCCAGACACAGGTGCTGTGGTTCTTTTGTCCTTGCTCAAGGTGACTGTGTATTTAGAAAGTAGCATTTTGGCTTTAGTGGTATTATTGTGCCTCCTTGATCAATGCCCACAACAAAGCAGCAGTATTGACAGGGTCACGGGTTATCTGGAAGTGGACATCCTAGCACCCTTTACCAAATTAGAAATTTTCCAATCATCAGCATTACAGTGGGATAGCTCAAAAGAAAGATTTTTCAATATGGATTTATAAACATCTCCAGAAAACCTTAAATTTTATTAAAAGCCAGTGCTTTTGCATATGCTTTTCTTTGTTCTTTATTGGGAAGCTGGTGGGGGAAGGATGGTGGGAAGGGAGACATTTCCCTGGTATAATTACCATCTATTTTAATGCATAAAACTCCTAAAAGGGAGGTACTATATCACTTCAGCTGCTTTTTATTTTTCATTGTAGGTTTAAATACTAGTCATGCAAACACAGAGGAGCGCTTCAGGAAAGTATAGTAGTTACATTATAAGAAAGTTTTAAGAAATGCTCCCAAGATTTTAGCAAGACAGGAAGTAATGTGTTACCTTTAAAATTCCGAGGCTTAGAGATCTGAATTGGGTGCTTGGAAATACCTTGGATATTCTGTTAATAAGATAATAGTTTTAGTTGAAATACCTACTCTTAACTTAATCTGTACCATCAAGAGTATTTAAAATACATAGTATTTTGTTAAAAAATATAATGCCGATATTCCATGCCTAAGCATATTAACATACAACACAACTGCCTAATGTGAAAGTTTCAATGGAGACACCATTAATCACAATTAGCAAGTATGAGAACAGCCTTGACTCTGGCCTATGTGAGCCTGTGATGCATATAGTGATGTGACAGTAACCCAGATTAAGAACTTTCTTGGAAATATGTACATTATACTTTAATTTAAAAGCACCCTTTAAGCTGGAATGTAGCACTTAATTATCATGTACAAAGCTCGAGGTTTCATTTTTTGTACTGTCTAAAAGCACAAGAAAACAAAATCCCCACTATACTTTAAAATGAAAGTTCTGGTTTCAGCTTTGTTTCAGGCCCTCCCCTGCTCCTGGTACTTGGTACCTGCCTCAGTTTTAGCTTACTACTAACGTGCTGGTCTCACTTACAAACTCTCAAGGGATTTTCTTGAGTGCCTTTACTTTCCACCTTTACCAAGGTAATGATAGTAGATGACAATAATAACAGATAACAGACATATTCCATCCTGTTTCTCCTGTTCAAACCACAAGAATTTCTGTCCTTGCACCTTCCTACGCTTGGCAGTATAGTGAACAACAGGCTACTTTGTCTGGTAATGGAATTTTCTGGATACTAGCTGGACATGACCAACTGACTAGCTATGATGAATTTTACTGTGCTAGATGCTGACCATTAAAATCCAACTTTTTTAGGTCTCACAGAAACACAAGAAGTATGGGGCAAGTATTTAATCTTCCTTGCACATATGAATTCACAACATTCATGGTTACCTGCACAAGACCTGCATGAGATCAAAACAGTTAAAATTCCAGCTTGAGCTGGGGGTGGTGGTGGTGGTACATGCCTTTAATTCCAGCACTGATGAGATAGGCAGGGGGATTTCTGTGAGTTTGAGGCCAACTTGGTCTATGGAGCTAGTTCTAGGACAGTCAAAGCTACCAAAGAAACAATCTCAAAAAACTAAACCAAACCAAAACAAACAACCCAAAAGCCCCAAACAAACAAAAAACAAAACAAAAAAAACTCAACAAAAAACAAAATAAACCAAACAAATAAAAAAAAATTCTAGCTTGGTAGGGAAGAGGTTACTGAGACCTGCACAAGATCTAACCAGCTAAAATTTCAAACATTGATAGGGGAGAGGCCACTGAAGTCTCACCTCTAACTGAGGAGCTATTTGCAGCTAATGACTGATGGGGAGGAGTGGCCATTGGTAGGTTAATCATACCACAGTGGATGATTTGGGAAGCACTAATTGGACTCAGTGGATTAAAAATAAAATTAAAACGCATAAAATTGCAAAGAAGATGTTGGGAGATCCTAGGAGAATTTGGATTGGCAAAGTGGGATGTGGATACAATTAACACATTTTATATATATGCATGAATTTTTCAAAGAATAAACAAAACATTATTTAATTAAGATACCATTTGATTTAAAGTAATGCAAAGAAAACCTTATGTTGGAGTTTTGTTTGCAAATCATATAGACACAAAACATAAATGACTAAAGTAAACCCATAAAACAAACAAAAAAGCACCCTGGCATAAAAGGCACTTCCAGAATAGAAAAGTCAAGAGCTTATCATATGAAATCAGTGACACCCTGGTTACTAAAACCAGGCAGAAGAAAGAAAACGCTAACCAAAATTCTTAAACATAAGCACAATAATTCTTAACAAAGCCGGGCAGTGGTGGTGCACACCTTTAATCCCAGCACTCGGGAGGCAGAGACAGGTGGATCTCTGTGAATTCAAGACAAGCCTCGTCTACAAGAGCTAGTTCCTGGTCAGCCTCTAAAGTCACAGAGAAACCCTGTCTCGAAAACCACCCCCCCAACCCAAAAACCCAAAAAACAAAACAAAACAAATTCTTAACAAACCAAGCTCAGTAACATAGAAAAAAGATTATATTTCATGACCAAGAGAGAAATGTCTTCAGAATGCAAGGTTTGTTTAAAAGTCCAAAACAAAGTCAGGTTGTGATGGTGCAGATCTCAGTGAGTTCAAGACTAGCCTGGTCTACAGAACAAGTTCCAGGACAGCCAGGGTCACACAGAGAAACCATGTCTTGCAAAATAAAAGTCCAAAACAATTAATACATAATATTCATGGAATAAAGGGCTTTACAATAGTAACAACATAACAGAGCAGAAAAGGGCAATGACAAACTTCAAAAGTCATTCAGACTAATGATGTAACAAACATACACTGACATTCTCAACTAAGTAGGAAAGGGGGATTTTTTTTCAGCATAGTAAACAGCATGTACAAAGCTTACTCATTCCGAGTAATTTCAGTGTCTAAAGCTATATAAAATAGGCCTGTGTTCCTCATCTATCAGCATCAGACCAGCATCAAGCCAACTGCAGTTGATACATACAGCTGACTGCTCCTGGAAAGCTCTGCATGGTCAGGAACAACCAGCAAATAGGTGCTCAGGTTCTAATGTTATGTCCACAGAACACAGCCTGTTAGTTTTAATGACAGCTGTCTTACCAAAATAAAGTGAATATATGGGTTTTCTATTAGTTCCAAGAAAGTAGGAAGTTTAAGTTTATTGTGCTTAGATGAATTACAAAGGAAGATTTTGTTTTTACAATATATCAAATATTAGCATGATAGAAAATTCACCAAATATTTAATTTACATAGTGCATTTTAACCATCCCAAGAAAAGTTAAAGTATACACCTTGTACTTTGGTCACATGAAGATTGTCATCCTGAGAAGGAACTTCTTCTCTTTCCTGGAAAACAAGATTTTAGCTTTTCCTTTTCCATTACTGCTGATAGGTACTACGATGAATTGAATGGCACCCTGGTTTTTGGTACCTTGCAATGGCTATTCTGTCCATTATGACTTGTTGAGACATGAATGGGAGTTAGGGATCCACTTTAGCAGAGGGCTTTGTCAATAATCAGTGCATTTACAGCTGACAGGGCAAGGCAAGAGCAATCACACAGTGTCAGCTATGAGCATAAGCCAGAGAAATGCTGTGCCCTCCCATTAACACTAGAGGAATATAAAATCACTGACCAAGAATAAGCATTTCAACCAGAATTGTTTCTATGAAGTGCCCCCAATATGTCTACAGAGCAGAGCTAGTAAAACTAAATAAATCAACTCCTAAAATAAAGACATCTGCTGTTTTTATAAATACCAGAAACATCCATGGGTTGTCTATTGTGTGGAGTGGTTTTTAAAGAAAAATAACCTTTTTGTTTTAGAGAAAAGTTGTAAAGACAGAAAAGTTGTCACATGTCCCCATCCAGTTTCATCCAGTGAGCATCTTGAAGTTTGTCACAACTAAACTGAAGGGGATATTACCATCCTCTAAGGTCTGTGCTTTGTTCTTTTTTTTTTTTTTAAAGATTTATTTATTTATTATGTATACAGTGTTCTGTCTGCGTATATTCATTTATTCCTTGCAGGCCAGAAGAGGGCACCAGATCTCATTACAGATGGTTGTGACCCATCATGTAGTTGCTGGGAATTGAACACAGGACCTCTGGAAGGCCAACTATTGTTCTTAAGCACTGAGCCATCTCTATAGCCCTGTGCTTTGTTCTTACAGCATTTAAAAATAATAATCTCTTTCATACAAAACACTTAGTCATCGTGTCTCCTTAGGGTCCTCCTGGTTATCAGTTTCTTATCATATTTCACAATTTTGTGAAGGGCTGGTCAGACAGGAAACTCCACCCTTCCAAAGGTTGGAATTTGTCTGGTATTTTCTTCATGGTGGCAGTGGAATTGCATTCTTAGGAAGACTGTTATAGCAGTGAGGTGTCATCCTCACCCTGTGGTGTCAGGACATAGGCTGTCCACAGCACCTTGTGTTGCCACCGATCTCCACACAGAATAAGGTGGCCTCTCTTTATAAAATCACTCTTAAATTTTCTTCTTTTCTATACGATACACATAGAAAGGAGGTCATTAAGCAGAGCCCACTGTTAAGGTAATCATGCAGTGTTAGTTACTTCTTTGTCACTGTGACCACAAGACCTGATATTTATTTTGGCTCCCAGTCTCAGAGGGTTTATTGTATCATGGCATGTTGGCAAGGGCATGGTGGAGCTCACAGTTTGCAGCATGGTTGGTCAGGAAGCTGAGAAAGGGGGATGCCAACATTTGGCTGTTTTTTTTTGTCATTTTCCCTCTTTTATTCTGCCTAAGCCTCCAGCTTATGACATGGTGTTACCTACACTTAGGGTAGGTCCCCACAGGTAATCTCATGATTTTTTCTGGAGTAGGGCTTGTGGAGAAAGACCATGTCCTCACCACATCGCATCAACTCTCTACCAACATGACCCATCACTGCTATAAACTTAGGTATTTTCTATTCAGGCAGAGTTTCAATATGTAGCCAAAGCTGGTTTCAACTCTCCATCTTTCCGTCTTTGCCTTCCAAATGCTAAGATTACAGGCACCTGTCAGCACAACTGATTCATTCATTTTTCTTTTAATTTTCAAAATTTCTTATTTTATTCTACATGTATGAGTGTTTTGCCTGTCTATATATGCCAGAGGAGGTCAAAAGAGATTGCCAGATTCCCAAGTAACACATAGTTATGCATAATTGAGATCCACCATGTGGATCTGAGAACTGAGCCTGGGAACTGAGCCTGGGTCCTCTACAAGAACAGCAAATATTCTTAACTACAGAGGAGGTCCAGTCCGTCATTCATGTCTTTTTATGGCTTCAAAGATAATTCCTTTTTATCACTAAAAATATTTCTCTGTATGATTGCAGCATAGTTTATTAATACATTATAATTTTGGTTGCTTGCATGTTTTAGCAATAATTAATAAATTGGTCATCATATGTATTTATTCACATGATTTTGTATAGACATAAATTTCCAAGTAAATTTGATAAACTTTGGAGTT